AGCGTGAAAATAATTAGGGAAAAATGGAACAAAAATTGATCAAAACTTGTAAGAAATCTGCTGAATCCCTATGTTAATGAGCCAATCAAGTTATTTTATTGTTAAATCCAGTAGTGTTTGCTGAATCTGAAATCACTTGCTACTTAAAAGTATGGTCCAAGGACCAGCAGCACTGGCATCACCTGGGCGCTTGTGAAGAAAGATCTCAAAATGCTGAACTCCCTCCCCACTCCCTGAATCAGAGTCGACAGTTTAACAAGCTTTCCAGGTGATTTAAATATACATTAAAGTAAGAAATACTGCTTTAAGCCATTCTTTGAGTTCTTACAGCATGTTCCTTATTCATTGCTAGTTAAATACTCATCTCTCCCCTCACCAAACCTGTGACATCTTTAAAGGCAGGAACTATGTATTATTGTTATTTTTATTCTAACCATGTGTGCCAAAAACTACTAACTGGCCAGCCGGCGTGGCTCGGCAGTTGAGCATCAACCTAGGATCCAGGAGATCAAGGTTCAATTCCTGGTCAGGGCACATGCCCAGGCTCGACCCCCAGTAAGGGGCACGCAGGAGGCAGCCTATCAATGACTCTCATCATTGATGTTTCTATCTCTCTCTCCTCCTCCCTTCCTCTCTCTGAAATCAATAAAGACATAAAAAAAACCCACACACACACACAAAAAAAACGATTGCCCATCAAAATCATTTTTTTCAGTCTTACTGGGTACATTGCTAACCTACATTTCCCAACCTCCTTTGCAGTTAGGTGTGACCACAGGATTAAGTTCTCTCCACTGCAACATAAGCTGAAATTCTGTGTCATTTCTGGGCCTAGGTCTTGACACTGTGGCCATGCTCTCTTTTCCCCCTTTCCCTTGACCATCTTGATTATGCAACAAGACTCAGAAACACAGATGAGCCCTCAGCAGCCATTTCTGTACTGTGATCCTAGCCATAGCTGACTGATCCAGGAGTGAATCTCTTACCCAGACTGCATCATTTGCAATGTTCCCTCCAAGAGATATGCAATTTTGAACTGAGACAGAAGCTGAGAGTAACTGCAGCTGAGTCATGTTGATGGCAAAGCTTTGAAGCTGTACTGTGCAATATAGGAACCACTAGCCACATTTGGCTATTTAAATTTCATGACAACAAAATTAAAAATTCAGTGTCTCAGTTGCACTAGCTACCTGTCAGGTGCTCAGTATCATTTGTAGCTCATGCCTCCGGTACTGGACAGAGCAGACGTAGAACATTTTCATCAGCACAGACGTTCCTACCCGACAGCACTGCTCTAGAGAGCGCGACTATAGTCTCTCCTCGTTCCCATCCCTCCCAAAGACTGGTTGTTCAAACCATTCCTTAGACTCTGTGGGACACACCAGAATCTCTGCAATACATTCCTTCTCTTGCTCAGACTAGTCAGATGTGATTTTACTACCTGCTACCAAAGGACCTCAGTTCTTAGATGCCTGGCACTGTAACTGTAACCACAGAACACCAAATCTGCTGGGGGAATTCTCGGGCTTCTTTTTATTTGCGCTTAACTTGATTTTCACAGGGCTCTCCTGCATCCCTCTCACATTCTCATGAGTTGGCCCTGTCCACTAAACTCTTACCCATCAGCACATATTAAAGAGAGGCGGGGCTTTCAAAAGTGCAGGGCGGGCTGAAGGAGAGGCTGACGATGTTCAGGTTACATATTCTGTATCTAGTCCTCCCACAGGGCTTCTGAACCGTGGATCTAATTGTTCAGCGGGTCGTTCCAGCTGGACGTCGGAAGGCACCACCAGATGCACCTGCTTCAAACTGAACGGCTCTCTGTCTAAAGCCCAGCTTAGCTATTTCTGACCTCCAACCTCTCCGACAGAGAAAATGCTGACTGCGTACTGCTGCCGTGGAATTTAAGGGTCAATAACTCTTTTAAAAACAGGGACAACATTGTCTTCCCCTCTTTATACCTAGCATAGTGTCTCACGCATTATAGACATTTGATGATTTTAGCAAACCGTAGCCATTCCCACAAAATTTAAAGAATAAATGAATGCGACAGTCAGCTCTGGAAGGGCACTGACGCCTCTACAGCAAGTCAGCCAGTAGTGGTTATCCCACTATCACATCAGGACCCAGAAAGGGGAACACAGAAAACTGGAAATCTGTTAGGATTTCTTAATTCCTGGATTTTTTTTCTGCTTGAGACGTTTTATGCGGACTCTAATAAGATTTATGTAAGCTGTTCATGACTTTGGGTGAACTTGAAGCATCTCAGTTCTCCAACCTTTGAGATAAATGGTGCCCAGTTGCCAGTATCCCCGCAGCCCGTTATCCCGCACGCAGGGATGGGTGTAGCTGCTTAGGTCTGGACAAAAGCTTAATGTTCCTGAGGCTCCCCCCACCCCATGCATGGGGATGTAAACCTTAGGTAAACTCATTTAGGTAACCTCACTTCTGTTCCTTATGCCCTGCCTGAGCGGGTATCTCAAGCAACCACCTGTTCCTTCCATTCCCCCGCTTTCTACTCCTGCTAGGGAAAGCCGGGCGGGAGGGCCAAGAAGTTCCCTCCAGACACCCCATAAAAAGGCTTCTTCCCGACCACTGGGAGCCCAGGCCGCGTGTACTCAGACGCCCCAATGAAACCGCCCTGACCCTCCCACCTGGCCCGGGGGTTCCTCCTCGGCGAGCCTCACGCGGCCCCCGAGGCTGGGGGGAGGTCTCCGGCCCCGCCTCCTCCGCTGGCCGAGAAAAACCGCGCTGACGGCTGCTCCTCCGAGAGCGCTGGGCGA